AAAACTAGCTGGGAGCCTTCACAGCGATTTAGACTCCTTAACCGTCCGATTACGTTACCAAACGCAACAGATCTCTTATTCTTTTTTGGTCGTCCCACGTACTCATATGTCCATTATCTAGCGTAACCAGGCCTGCTCCTCACGGTAAATAGGCCGCTGCTCTGCAGAGTGACCTGGGCGATCTAACGTTAATTGGGCTTAATTGTTAAAACGCGTTAATCGGGTCTACGACTGTGTACGCGAGGCCCGTTCAGTGTTTTTCTCTCATCTCTTCATCTGTTCCAATCGAGAAGGCAGAGGGGCGGCAGGGGAAGGCCATGGTGGCTCCGCCGTCTCACCATTGACCTCCCATCGCTTCTCTTGTTTATCCACTGGGGCTAGCAGGAGTGCGGGTGGTGGCAGCAGTCGCAACTGCTGTCTCTCCAACCGCGACCTTCTTGATTGACGAGGATCGAGGAACACCGTGGAGGGTGAGAAGATGGCGCAGTAGCCACCCAAATAGGCGGCCAGACGCAATCATCGAGTTGCATCCAGATCGAAGATAAAGCCTATTTTTTCGTCCATACACACTACCACTAGAAGAGGTAAATGACCGGTTGCCTACCTTACCTATGGACATGGCGGATTTATATATATATAGAATGACTTTTTCTTCCATAACATGTTGTCTTAGTAGCTGCAAGTACTTCTGATAGCATGGTATTATTTCATCAATTCAACTCAATCTGAAGAACTGAATACATGCTCCTAAGTATGGTGTGTGGTGTTCATTTTCTTTTGGTAGTCCTTTCCCTCTTTGCACAAAGTATGAAATACATTGAACCCCAATATTTCAGAACATGTATTCCATAGGTTCAGGATGTTTGGTCTAACAGGTAGACCATTTAATAAATGGTCGTGCTGAAGTTCTAATGAATGCACTTTGTTTCATTTAGTTTACCTTACAACACGAGTTTTCTGTATTTGTTCTCCTAAGCTGGGGCTTTGAGCACCATGTAAGCTATTACAGCCCATTTCTATATACTCACTGTCACTGATGTTGCGAAACATGCTGCTACCTTAATTTGCCTATTAGCATTTTTTTTCAAGCCTGTCTACATGTGTGTTTGGTATTCTTGCTGCTACAGCTTGTATCAGACAGACATCGCCAACTGATGACAACCTGCATGCTTGTAATCAGTTTAACTATTCCTTTGTTACTTAGGATCATCCTTAGAGTTTATTACACAAGTACTGTTGTATGTCATGTTAAGTTGGATGGCTTCATTCTAATAACCTGTAGCCAGCTCTGTTATGTGGCATGGCATACTACGGTATAACTTATTGATGTACCCTAAATTAGATGCATATTACTTCGTACTTTATAAATACTTTGGTTAGAGATATAGCTAAATTGCGATGGTTCCAAATAGTACAATTTCTAGGTTATCTTAGGTATTTCTATCATTCTTTTGTAAAAATGTCCTCAAGATAGACGGGCGCGGCAACGCGCGCTTTTATGATCTAGTGCTTAAATAAAAGATCCCTGGTCTCCTGGATAGTTGGGAGCGGTGCTAGCCACCGGGCTCGCTTCGGGTTTCTGATGATCAAGTACGTCGCGGAATACTTGAGGCGAAACTAGCCCAGTTGCAACTGGCTTTTCCCGGTTTCCCTATTTTAACTTTGTTTTAATGTTCTTTCTTTTTGCTACATTTTTATTTAGTTTTCTATTTTTTAAATGTTTTCTTTTGTATTTTGGTTTGGTCCATATTTCTTCTTCGGGTTTTTGTTTTTCTTTTGGTTTTCATTGTTTCCTTCATTGTTTTTTCTGTTTTTCTTTTCTTGCTCATTTTCTGGCTTTTATCTCCAGTTTTTTATTTCTTTCTTGGTTTCAAAGTTTTTTTGTTATTCTTTGTTTATTTATAGATTTCCGCAGTTTTTCCATTCTTTTTGCATTTATTTCTTCAAAATTATTTTTCATTTTTTATGTTATTTCTTTTTTGGTTTTCATTTTTCAGGATTTTCTTCATTTCTTATGAATCTCGTTCTACTTTTCAGGATTTTCTAATACATGTCTAAATTCTTTCCAATACAAATTTAACATTTTTTGAATACATGGTAAATACCTTTTTTTGAAATGTTTGATTAACATTTTTCAAATAGAAATTTAATTAATTTTTTAATGCATGGTCACAATTCTTTTCTATACACATTTTAAACATTTTTCAAATGCTTGATTAACATTTTTCAAATACAAGAATAACATTATTTGAATACATTGTCAACATTTTTCCTATACACACTTTTAAACATTTTCAAATGCTTGATCAATATTTTTCATATATAGATTTTTTAAACATATATTCAACATTGTTTTTATGCACATTTAACATTTTTTAAATTCTTGATTTACATTTTTCAAATACAGGATTAACATTTTTTTTGCCACATAGTCAACATTGTTTCTATACACATTTAATTTTTTTAAATGCTTGAATAACATATTTTAAGTGCTTCATTAACGTTTTGTCTACATTTGAAAAACATGAGGCTATGGCTAAGCGTGCGCTTGGGCTGACCCATCTAGCGCTCCCTTTCAGACAACTGTTCTCTCGGCCGCCCACTGGGCTGACCCATACGCTCGATCAACTTCAACGAGTTGAAAGGTTGCCTCACTATAAGTGAGGTAGAGCCGCGCCCGCAGGTCGCCTGAGGAGCATCCAACTAGGTGGACCATGTCTGGCCAGGCCAATCAACAAAGGATTGACAATTTCAAACCGTCCAATGCTCAACCTGCTGCACCTTTGTTATGTATCGCCTATAAAGATACATATCATACAGGTCGTCAACCAGCACTGCCGATTTGGGGGAGGCAGCGGTTTGTTGCGACAAGATTTCAACCCGTTTTAGGAAGGTTATTTTTTTTCAGTTTTCTCTTTCTTTTCCCCTTTTTTCCTTTTTAATTGGTGAAGATTAGTCAAATTGACAAACATTCTTTTAGTTCATGATTTTTTTTCAAATTCACAAGCATTTTTTCCAGTTCAAACAATTAGTGGATGTGTGAAGAATTTTGTCAACTTAAAGAACATTTTTTTTACAATTCTTGAACATTTCCAAACTCATGGACATTTTATAATTCAATATATGTTTATCAAATTCATTAAAATATTTTAAATATGTGAAGTTTTTGCAATTAATGAAGAGTTTTAATTCCTAAACATTTTTTGAACTGTCAACATTTTTCAAATTCAATAACATTTTTTTGAACTCATGAACATTTTTTTGCAGATTCACAAACTTTTTTGAATTTTTGAATTGTTTTTCAAAATCGTGAACACTTTTTAAATTTGTTGGCATTTTTTTAACTTGTGAAAAGATTTTTAAATTAACATAAAATATTTATATTTGTGAAAATATCTTTATATTCATTAACTTTTTCAAATTAAAATAAAACAAAGGGAGAAAAATCTTAAGTGAGAAAGAAAAACATGCAAGTTCCTGGCTGTGGTGCATGCGTGAGTATGCTGGGACAGGCCCTTTGCAGGGGCGCTTACTGAACGGTTTCAAGCGTGATTGCAAGCGATGCGTCGTCGTATTGCTCGCTAGGAGCGATACATAGTAGTTACCGGCCTGCTGGGCTCACCCCAGGAAGAAGGCCTAAGGTTACAATAAGCAGTAAGAAGCTGGACCACGTGTTCAAGGCCCAGAGTGTTCAAGGCCTAGGAGATCTTGGTTTGTAGTACGATCTGCATTGCTAATTTTCGCTCTTTTGTGTGCATGCCATGGGAAAAATAATCTGGTGGACAATTAATCTGGTATTGTATAAAAACGTGGTTTAAAAAGACGCGGATCTTTTCTAATAAATGAGTATTTCCTTTGCAGAGCCAACCAACATGCCATTTTCTCATACTTCACACCATTATTCACTCAATAAAAGAAGCCATCACACCTTTGATATGTTGAGTACGAGATGAGGTGAGCTAGTACTGGAAAAAAATATATGGTAGCCTTCAGAGCACCGTCCCTTGGTTGGTGAGTGACTGAGTGCATCTCTTCCTCTTGCTCCTCTGTGCAAGAAAGCGCCAAGCTCTAGTTCCTCATCTAATTTTCCTGTCTTGCTGCTCTGGTCTCGTGAATTTCTGCATCGTGAAAGGTTAGCTTTCTCGCTGTGCCATTGTTATTCTGCCCTAGTTTATGGTTGTTCCAGTTGATTGGGCGATGATCGCACCATCCCAGCCTATGTTTCTCGTATGTTTTACAGATAATTAGTTCTTTCACCAGTTAGTTGTTCCTAGAGGGTATAGACCGGCCTCTGTTTTTTCACAGGGTTGAAGGAAGTGTTCTTGTTTGTGTTTGAGCCTTTGCTCGGTTGGTGAATTTCATGCCCCTTCTCCTTTTTCAAGGAAAAACACACACACAACATTAGATTTCTGGCATTTCTTATTCCAGCTAGATTTCAGTGTGTATTTGTCCACCTGTTTTTCTTCACATGGATTGCCGTTGGGTCGCATTACTTGCTTGGGCAGGCTTTGTTTTCAGGGCACAACATGTTAGCTTGTAGCCCTGCAATTGTTCGGATCACTGTTAATACCTTGGCTACTTTTCTGAATATCGATTTTTTAGATAATAATTTTGTGAACACAAGATGACATTGATTCCTCTACTTCCATTAATATTGTATAAAATAGATTAGAACACATAGTCCGAATCCCCCAAATCTGTTATTAGGACATATGTTTGCCATTTTTGTCAATTAATATTCATGAAATATTGTGGACGGTCCAAATGAAATATGTGTCGTTATGCTTCATGTCCATTCCGCTCCTATCTTTGAAAGTCCAAACTACATTCATCGGAGACACTATTGTCTGTTACTACAAAAACAGAGTGTCGTTACTCTGTTTCAACAACTGGGCTAGGGTCACAAATAAGCCTTGCTACTGCTTATGCTAATTGTCCATTCTAAATGACCTATTCTATCTTTGTGAAATTCTGTTAGCAACTGAACTTGCAGGTTATATATGGATGACATTGTTGATGCATTGCTTCTCAAGCTTCACTCAAAGATATGTTATCATAGGGATGCCAGTGTCGACTACCTGGAAATCAAGGCCACGGTTGATAAACTCGTAGAGGCGAACAAAAGGCTCAAGGATGAGAAAGTGGACTTCCAGGATGTCATTAATATGGTCACAGAAGACAAGGAGAATTTGCAGCATGACTGTCAAGGTTTGTGATCTTTAGGTAGCGCACTAATTAGTTTATTACTTATTAGGACCCTGATTTATTATGCTGACTCATTTGGTAGCGCAGTAATCAAGGAGCGGGTGGCAAAAAAGGAGGAGCAACTTGAAACTGTAAAGAAGGAACTTGAAGAAGCAAAACATGAACATGTGGCAGCAAAGAAGGAGCTTGAGGAAGAAAAACTTGGCCATGTGGCAACAAAGAAGGAGCTTGCGGCGGCACACCAACAACTTGCTCAAAGGAACGAAGAGCTGGAGATTTTAAGGAAGAAGCTTCAAGAGAGTGAACATGTACCTTCCAAAAGGGTAAAAACTAATACATATATCCTTCTCCATGGAAGGCATTCGTATTTTAGCCTTGTTAACCTTTTTATCCTGAATGCTTTAAGCATTTTTTCTGCAGAATGAAAGCATAACTTATGTTCAGTAAAAACAAATTCTTGTCGGCTCATAATTTGATTATCGAAGTCTATGTGTCAGCAGGTAACAAGATCTGCACATAAACGGCAAATGCTACTCAAAGGATCGCTGAGCAATGATGCGGATGGACATCGCCCAAAGAAACATAAGTCCTATCAGCATGCAAGCCATACACTCTAATACAGGTATAATGATAGATCCCTGAATTTGTACTCATCATCTACCTAGAGACTGCATACACTCTAAATGAGAGAAGTGCATATTTCAACCCCCAACTCTTGCCCTAGTCTAATATACACCCCTCAACTTCAAAACCGTCTAATCTACAACCCCCAACTGTCAAAACCATCTAAGATTCAACCCTGAGACCGGTTGTGACCCTGTTGACCGCCCAGTCAGCGTGCCACATCAGCGACACTGTTCACAATTCATTTTCTGAAACTTTTTCCCCCAAAAAACTGAGAAATTCATTTTCTAGGGGAAAAATCCTGCGTGAATAGTAAATTCAAAAAAAATATAAAAAGCACCATTTTTAGAAGGAAAAATAATTTTCGTCTCGTGAATAGTAACTCAGGAAAAGTTTGAAAAAAATATAAAAAGTATCAGCACAAATTTTCGAAAATTCCCAGTTTTCACACATGTGAACAGTTCTAGAGGACAAAAAATTTCAAATGTACTGTTCATGCGGCGGAAAATGAAATCCCGAAATTACTGTTCACGTGGCGAAAACGGAATTTTTCAAACTTTTTTCAAAATGATTTTTTTCACCGCATATGCAGTGAATATTTCATTTTTCGCCACGTGAACAGTACTATTCGTGTGTGAATTTTCCAGAAAATGAAATTTTCTGATTTTTTGGCAGAAAATGAATTCACGAACAGTGTCGCTCATGTGGCACGCTGACTGGGTGGTCAATGGGTTCAAAACCGGTCAACAAGGTCAAAACCGGTCTCAGGGTTGAATCTTAGACGGTTTTGAGAGTTGGGGTTGTAGATTAGACGGTTTTGAAGTTGAGGGGTGTATATTAGACTAGGGCAAGAGTTGAGGGTTGAAATATGCACTTCTCTCCACTCTAAATCAATGAGTACAGACATAAATGTATTGCTTAAGTGATTCAGAACTTAGTACAACCATCTCGCTGATTCTATTATAATACTGGAGTATAAGATGATATGAGCACGCCAACATTTCATTAAGTTAGTCCTTGCTTCTGATTGGAGCATCGGACTAGTTTTATCGCCGGTTTTGGCTTGAGCATTAGCTTGTCTTTAATTATTTAAGGGATCAAGCTGCTACTAATTACCATTTGTTATTCTGTTTGTGCATAGTTTGTTTAGACATCATGTATACATGCTCAGTAAAAAGAGGTCAATATTTCATTATCTAAAGAAGGGAGCAAGTTTGGTATTGCGAATCTAGTTCCTATGCTGCATGAGTTTCTGCGTCGAGCTCATTCTTACCTTCTGTTGTTGCGCAGGTCGAGGTGGAACAGTGTGTGCTAGCAGTTGCAAGTGAGGAAGGAGGCCATCGTCGTAGCAGGCCATGACTAACACTAGCAACTAGCAAGCATGCAAGAAAGTTACTATGTTAGCTACCTATGACGCTGGTGTTGAATAGTGTTATAATCTCCATTTCATGTATATTTTAGAATTTATTTCAGAACCTTGGTGTGTAAAAATTTGGCACTTTGATTCGCGCTTCTACTAATAACTCTGATGCATAAATATTATATGACTTAATTTGATGAAACCTTCATTTAACGGTCCTTATTCGATTATTCAGTGTCCTCTCAGTGTAATGTGATGCCTGAAGAGTGCCCTTGGTCTGGATCTGCACATATTAGTGTGTTGTTGATTTATTTCCAAGTGAAGCTAAGCTTATCCTCGCAGAGGGCACCGCCTAGAGCCGCTCGACGAAACCGTGTGCAGGCCAAGGTCGCACGCGTGCTCCGGCGAGAAGACGTCGATGGCAAGCGCTCCGTTGGATCTTCGTCTGATGACTCGCATGTGTCGCCGGCTGAGCAGGATATGTGGGTGCGATGTTATCTGGCCCAGGACCAGATTGCCGGGCCCTGTGACTCCATCACGGCAGGCGATCGACGGTTCAAGGTCAGGCATAATTTTTTTTCCTGCCAAAAAATAATTGGTGCAGCTGCTGCAGTATGGATGGATGACCAAGGTGTATATTTGGGTTCTTCAAGTCTTGTATTACCTCGTGAAATTTTTAAGACACATTGTACTCATGGATTATTCGTCATAGCGGAAGATGATGTATAAATAAAAGAAGTATCAATCAAGATTGTAAAAACAAAGTACCAATCAAAATCAATTTCGCCGTCTTTACCGACATCTCCATCACCTTCCTCCACCTCTATTCAGCGGCTCACTTTCCCGTAACCCATTGTATTCCCTACTTGAACATGGTGTTGGATGCTATTAATTATTGTATCATGATTTCTTGCATCTTCTTTATGTCTGAGTATATTTATTTTTTCCTATAGTTTAGTTGGTGAATTGTTATGGTTCGTTTGAGTTGCATGATTATTATGTTACTGTCCTTTGATACCCATCATATGTCATATGAGTGGGATCACACCTTATGGTTAGTTGTATGTTGAAAAGAACTATGCATATGCCGACCAAGTGACAGATATTACCGAGGCTGAGTGTAGGGATCAGTACATATAAGATGAAGGGAGGCCAATATATATTAATGCTATGGTTGACTTTATCTTAATGAACGTGTTAGTATTTGCGGATGCTTGCTAATAGTTCTAATCATAAATACATCACGTATGGATTGTATGTTAGCACATGCATGTCCCACATATAAAACTGCAATGATGATAACCGGTCTAGTAACTTAGCAAATTGCCTAGGGTTGTATCAGTCTTTCACACTTTTCCACACTTGCTATTTGTATTATATTATACTTTTATTTAAACAAATCTAAATTTTATTTATAAATTATTAAATATCTTGCAAAATCCTATCCTTTTAGACAGAAAGCATAGATTTATTTCTTGTTTCTAGGTAAATCAAATGTTTGATGTGCGTAAGCTTGTATTAGTGGCAGATAAGACCTAAGAGAATACCGATCATATCCTTGGCTCCTTGTGAGTTAGACACTCTATACTTACCACCTTCATCATTGAAAAGTGCTATGATAATTTCTTGCACTTGGGGATTATCATCTGACAAGCCATGTGGCAAGTTAACCGATGTTATGTAGGCCGCTTTTTGCAACAAAAAACACCCTAAAAATTATATAGTGCATTATTGAATAATATTCTAATATAACTTTGCTCCTCACTAGAGGACCAACACAAGACGACATGTGGGCCCAAAGGTCATACCCAAACCAAAAAAGCAAAAAGGATTTTGCGCTACTTGGGCCACCCCGTGAGAGGCGCATGTTATGAGCGTAGTGATGGGGAAGGGATACATATTACCTCCGCAACTGATATATATCGACTGTTTTTCTTCGAGAAAACTTTCGACCTACTCATCACTGTCAAGTAGTACAAAGAACACTAGAAGTAAAAAATTACATCTAGGTTCAAAGATCACCTAGGGACGACCACAAACACTCGAACGAGCTGAAGGCGTGCCGCCGTCATCACCCCTCCCTCACCAGAGCCGGAAAAATATTGTTATAGTAGACAGTGAGGAAGTCATCATGATAAGGCCCCACATGACCAGCGCATCAAAACAACAACCGCCTGCACTGAAGAAAAAGCGCAAATCGGGAGGATCCAACCTGCACACAAAAAGATGTAGACGAACAAAGACCCAATCAAAGAGGGCCCACCAACGAAAAACGCCGCCCGGATCCCATGAGATTCTCCGGAGACACACATGCACACATACCGTCCAACGATGCTAAAATCGACGCTGGGATGGGTGCTAGACGTGGAGAATCTTATTCCATCTTCAAAAATCCTCTGCCACCTCGTCCTTTTGAGCCTGGCACAAACCCTTAAAAACACCAAAAAACAGAGCCCTCCAAAGGACCTTAGGAGATGAGGTGGACCAGCGATGGCGCCAACAAGAGGCAGGAAAACCCTAGCTGAGTGCCTTGATCACAGGACGCAGGAGTGATATGTATCGACTGCTGCGATACATACCGCTACGATCGCTCACGCATAGGGCATGGTCCGACCCATCAAGTTACAAAGCATTCGCCATTCTGGGAAGTTTTTGGAGTTTGTTAGTCGGTACTGGGAATTTTCCAGATCGTTTATTAATTTTTTTTCCTCTTGGTTTTTCATTTAACTTTTTTTCTGCATTTCTAGTATTTTCTATTTTCATTTTATTTTTTTCCAAAATTTGCAATAATATCTTGAATTTACAAACTTTTTTGAATTTAGGAACTTTGTTTGAAATATGCAAGCATTTTTCTAATTCATGAATGTTTCAAAATCATATATTTTTAATTTTTGACATTTTGTATATCATGATTTGTTCGAATTCATGAACTTTATTCAAATTTGTGAACATCCTCAAATTCATGAATGTTTTTCAGTTCACTATTTTAATTTTGTGACTTTAAAAAAAATATAAATATTTTTCAAATCCCTACAATGTTTTTGAATTCATGAACATTTTTCGATATGAACATCTTTCTAGTTTGTGAAATTTTCTTAATTCGCATTTTGTGAATTCCTAAACATTTTTCTAGTTCACGAACTTTCATATAAATTGGTGATTTTTTTCATATCACAAACATTTTTGTTATTTGGGAACATTATTCAAGTTCGCAAACATTTTTCATTTCCTGCATTCTGAAAGAATTTTGGAATTTGTGAAAATTTAAGTGTTTATTTTTTTAAGTTATGATTTTTTTCTTCTCAAAATCCTGTTTAAAGCAAAAAAAAAGGAAAAACACTCTTTGAAAACCTGTTTGAGGGATCTAAGTATTTTTTTTTCAGTCTAGTTTGAGGGATCTATGTGCTGCCCGCCCGCGCATGATCTTTGGTCTTCCCCTGGAACCGATGAAAAAATGTGGATCGCTTTTTATGTCCTCGCTCAGAATTATTCTTCTCTATCTATAGTTCACGGCCTATTAGAAGTAGAAGGTGCTCTGGTGCAATCCTTACCGACAGAAAAAGATTACAGTTAGGTTGATAATAGTCGAGTGACATTACTTCGTCAGTCCAAAATAAGGAATCTGTTAGAAATGTTTCGAAATGGATATTATTCTCTCTTTGATCAGGGATTGCTATATGAAAAGAAGTGGAGTTTGAAAAAGTGAACAGAATGCTCAAACCGAAACTGATAGAGGAATGAATTTTCAATAGCATAACTTGGGCTCCTAGAATATGGCGCTTTTGGAACAATCTATTTGATTGCAAGGTTTTGTTCCGAAGCAAAGAGGTATGTCGTTCGTGCGGCTAACATGAACAGCACGAGGCGGCTAGCAGGCTGATCCATGGGGCCGAATCCGGCCCAGCCCGGCTGCGGCAGCATAGCCGCCCGTAAATTCAGATCAAAATATGACTTGATCGAAAATGCGGCCTGATCTAAAAAAGTGTTTACTCCTCAAAAATAGAATCTAAAAAAGGTGTTTCATTCATGCGACCTGATCCTGATGCTATCGTCAACTTGGGACTTGGTTGCAAATCGGATGCGATCGTCCGATCGCGGGGGACGCGCCTAGTACCGTCATTGACCGGAAAGCAGAGAGGCCGATGCCCCAATTATAGTGCTACCAAAGACAATAGTACTACTCTAATCTAAGAGATCATGTATTATCGTGACTTAGAAAATCAGCACAGCCATGCATTCCCTATGGTCATCTAAATAAAAAAAAAGTTGCATATCATCTGTTTTCACACACACACACACACACACACACACACACACACACACAGCACGCATATCTTTTTGGGAAATCAGGGAGAGATCCCACGTTTGAAGCATATCATCTGGGAATATAAATTTCCACTTGCTTCAGTACGGGCACCGGAAATAATAGAGGTCTTATCGGATCGTGCTCCGTTGCTAACTGATTTTGGTCAAACCACTCCAAATTCTAACGGCCCACAATTTAAAATTCAAACTGGGATGGTTTGCTAGGGAAGGATTCTATGACTTGGTTAAGAAAGTTTGGGTGCGGCAACACTGGGGTAGTACGCCCATCCAACAACGGATTTATCATCACACCTTGCGACGATCCGTTTGTGGATTCGCTAAATGGTACTATCGATTGCCCGCCTTTTATGCGAGAAAGAGATCAAATGATACCAACGATCCAAGGCGCGGTTCTTTGTTCAAGGAGATGACAATACGGAATACTTTCATATGCTAGCCAATGGTAGACATAGAAAGACACATATATTTGCCCTAGACCAGGATGAGGGCTTTATCAAGGGGATGCCACGCTCAGAAATTTTATTACTAAACAATTCAAAGATATTTCGGACCTTCAGTTGAAAGTTCATTTTCACAGGACGAGTCTATTACTCATGACATACCTAAAGTCTCTGTGGTGGAAAATGAGTTTGTACCGCTCCATTCACCGAGGAAATGTCAAGTGTTTCAAATT